CCTGAACCCCTGGCATGGGTGTCTGCAGAGGAATCCAAGAATTAAGCCCATCTAAGGAACTAAAATAGGGCTGTGAAAGGGGAGTAATGGGGGGAGGTCTATGAGATGCTGTTGGCTCTGAGCAGCTGCCACGGCTGTGGGTCCATCTGTAAGCACCAGGTGGTAGGTCTGGGCTACTGTTTGTCATCAGAGACAGCAATTGAAAAAAAGAGCTGGGTGCAGAAGAGAGTGAGGACGAGTTATGACCTATCTGGTACATCTACATCTGTTCATTTCTGTATCTTATCATGTAAGAATCTTTGGAGAGTAAAAAAACTGTTGTATTCTCAATTCACACAAGTTCTTCTTTTGGCCAGCCCTGCCCTGGAACTATACAGTGAAGGAGACTCTGGGAATGTCGTTTCCAGATTAACTAACAGACAATTGGACAATGTACTACACTCTCTGAATGTCTTCCTAAATTAACTCTGAAAACCTTTTCAAGGGCCCAGAGAAATTATCAGAGGGGCTCCAGGATATAGCTTTTAAACAATGACCAACAAAGCCTTGAGCCATTGGGTCTGTAGGACAGCCTTTGTTGGTTGGCCTCATGCCTTAAAAAGACACGAGTGTCATTGTCTATGGAATCAAGATGCTGCAATTGTGGACCAGGAGCCTTCGCTCACTAAATAATGACCTTGTCTGATTCATTTAAGCATCATCTAGGCTTCAGGTTTTTTATTTACAAAATGAGAATGATCACTTCTAAGCTACCTTCTTTATCCATTGTTCCGAGGAACTAATGGGTAGCCATCAATGTATTTGTTAAATTCTGATAACTTTATGGACATGTGGAGAGTAGCTGTAGTTTTTCTCCCACAGAAATTTGGCCAACTTTTCTGCTGCCCTGCCTTAGTTCTGTAGGAGTTTTGTGCCAATTCTGCTGAAGTAGAAAATTTATAGAAAACAGACTTGGGCTTCTCCACCTTAGCTCTCTCTCTCTCCAGCTTTCTTCTGTCCTCAGTGGAAGCTCTTTCCTACATTAGGCGGTAGTGGGAAGGGAGGGATGGTTGAGGCTTTGGATGTCTCCGGGCCATTGATTCCTTCTGCCTGGATATTCTCTCTATGATCCCTCAACTCTCCATCTACTATTTCTACGAGCCTAAACCCCACTCACTTTTCAGTCCCCAGTTCAAAGAACATTTTCTTTTTCCTAAATGTTTCTGATTCCCTTCAGCTGGGTGATATCTTTTCCCTTTTTAAAACACCTGGGTCTTCCTATCTTTCATTGCAATAGCTTTATCCTGACATGCCCTAACACATATACACTTGAGTGCTTATCTTATTGTCCTACTAAATTTCACATTGGAAGAAGCAGGGGACTTGCATATTAAGCTCATGCAACAAATAAGTATTTTTTGGCATTCTCCACATTATAGTCTAGACAGACCTTGGTGTATAAATAATTTCTGAATTAAGCTGAAAGAAACCAAATTGAGGACATGCATCCACACATCACTGCCCTAAATAACAATACCTAAAAGGACAAAGTTGCCCATAATAAGGTATTAAAAAATGAAGAGTCTGTGATCCCTAACTGAATGGTTCTTAGTTCTCTGTTATTATGAATTTTATGTCTTCATGTGATAAGGTATTTCCCTCCATCATGGTAACATGAAGACCCTAGAAATGGAACAATCCAAAGAGAAGCCAGGGCTCAATTTTTCACCTGTACTCAGAGATAAATGATGTTTATAAAATTTTACAATTCATAGCAGCAGCTGCAAATATTAACCAGGGCCAGTGACACCCCTCTGTTTAGGTTATGGCTGGAACTGTCACTGAGCCACATCCTCTCTGGGAGATAGTTCACGCACCCACGATAAGGTTTCAAGAAGCCCTTGAGCCAGAAAAATTGTTTGTCAAAGTGTTTATGTCTTTTGTCATGGATGCCCTGGATTGGTGGGTTTCTTTCTCCAGGGTCAGAACCATTCCCAAAGTACAATTGATATAAGAAAATGCTTGTAGTTATCTCTCTACTCTTAAGTAAGTCACTTACCCACTTCCTCTCTGTAGACCTCAGTTTCCTCTAGAAGGGCATGTGAAATACCTCTTAAATATACCTCTTTCTCCAGAACTCTGTTATGAACTGCAGGCTGAATTCACAGAGTCCCAGGGCCTTCTTTTTCTTTCTGCTTAAGGTGTACATGGCTCAGATTTTCCCATGGGTCTCAGCTGTGGCATGCTTACCACACGTTGTCTAAAATAACGTTGCTCTGCAGGTGATGACAATTTATCTGCCCACTTGAAAAGTTCCCTAAACCTGGAAGACAAGGTCTCTCTCTAATGCAAATGATCTCTGATCGGTTTCCCTTGAAAGTGTCCATGTTAAAGGCATTATAGAAGCCCAAAGACATTGAGGATCCCAAATTATAGGAAGGAGGCTATGGTGTCTCGAAGTGTTAACACTTAGGACATCAGTATTCATTAGTAATTTATTTTGTGTTATATGGTTATAGACCACAAGCAAGTTTAAGCTCATCAGATCCTTCAGCAGGAAACAGTTTGTGTATTGAAACTCCTGCTCACCATCTTCTAGTATGTATGTATAGATCTGTATGTATGGGTATAATAATGACTTGTTCAAATACTAGTATGTCAGAATTGGAAAAGAACACAGAGCTTAACTATTTCAAACCCTTGTTTTGTTAGGTAGATAAATGAGAACTAAAGAGGAGATGGCCATACAATAGTTAACTGCCGATCAGGAATAGGGTTCAGGACCTCCAGCCACACCTTCCATTATTCCAAAGTAGTGGCCATCACTTTGACAGTCCACTCTAGCTCATGTAGTCAGTCACTCATAGCAAAAACACTTTCCCAGTACTGCATCCTAAACCTACTTAGTCCTATTTTTATTAAGTTCTTAGAAGAGCAGTTTAACTGTTTCCTGTTTTATAACATATTACAGCTAATAAACTCATAAAAATACAGGAAATAAAACAGCACATAAAAAGATATAAGAATTGCTAAAGCATTATTGTCTGGGGATGTTCGATGCAGGCCAAACAACATTATGCAACACAATATCCCCAAGATGGTTGATGTTCATAACAGTGTCCCTGAATCTGCAAGAATGGATTAGTATGTTTCACCTAAGAAAGCAGATTTATAAATCTTTATATTGGAAATATAAAGATACATATTTCATATATATATATGTATATATATAAAATGTATAAAGCACTTTAAATAGTATTACAACAAAAACTGCTTTAAATTTGTTAATTATAGTTAAGTAAAACTTTAGCTGTCTGGAAAACTCAGATAACAAAAATGAAAAAGCCAGCTGCGATGTTCAAGGAAGTGACATCTCAGCTGCGTGCAGATAGGCACTTTATACAGTAAAAAGTCTGTTGCAAGTTTGGCCAGTGTCTGCAGAAGAAAGAAATAAATAGCAAAGCCATGATCTCATCTTCTGTTTACACTTCAATTCTCAAAGTTAGTGATTAATTGTCCTCGTGTTTTGTTGCCAGGGCAAATTGTTTTCCTTTAAAACATCCACTTATTTTAAATAAATAAATCGTTAGTTTCAAAACAGAAGTGCCAAATGTCAAGATAATCTGGCATACTAAACTAAAGAACAAAACAATGAATTCATTAGAATCTACTAGAGATCGGCAGCCTCTGAGAACGTTCCTTTAATGACTTTGGAATGCAGCAGAAGCCATTCTTGGTGAGAGATTTTCTTATGCATCTTGCCTAAAACATCAGTCTAGAAGTTGCAAACACAAATACAAGCTTAAAAGAATTGTGATAGGTGTAAATGATAGAGTCCTGAGTAAGCCAAGTATTTGTGGTCAAATAAATAATACAAACCAGCTGCCATACTGTGCTTCCCAAACCAACACACACAATCAGCTTAGACAACTAGTTTAAGATCTCTGCTTGGATCTCTGAATTTACACAGGGCCTCTGGCTCTTCCAATGTAGTGAATTCCTTCAGCAAACAGGCAATTTTTGCACTTGGGTCTAACACAAACATACACAAAAATGCACTATTTTTGGATGATTCCAGTAATTTTGGTATTATTAAAACTTCCTATTAAATATAGTTCTGATTACATGAGTTTCCTGTTCAAAAGTTTTTGATGTCTTCCCTTTACTCACAGAAGGAAAATCACTTATCATTACGGCATTCAAGGTCAACCCAAATCTAATTTCAGCTTATCCTTCTAAGTGCATTTCCTACAACCCCCACAGACTACATGGCTTCTCATTGTTTTCAGAATGAGTGTTGTACTTTGAGTTCTTGACAACAAATAACTGCTATGTGCCAGGTCCTGTTCCATGCACCAAAGACACATCTGTAAAGAAAAAGTCTTCTTGTCCTGCAGCTTACATTCTGATGGGGATAGTTCCCCTTCTGAGTGCACTTCCAGAGCTAGTTTTCCATTAAACCTCCCATCACATTGTATAACAGCTCTACGTGTGTTTTCATCAGTCTGAACACTATCTCCCCATGCACAGCTCTTTATCTCATTCTTATTATCCCCACTATCTGCTTTGCCCAGTGTCAGACACACTCTGAATGCTCAATGAATGACATATTGTATATAGTGTTTTTCTTTGGAAATGTGGTAAGTTTTTGTTGTATATCGAATCCATCTATTAGGTTATTTAACTCTTTTGAATTTTAAAATGGAGTTATTATCAACAAATAAGCCATTTAGTTGTCAACAGGAATGATGTAGCCATTTGGTTCTCAATGGGAATGACAAAGGTCAAGCTACTCCTTATGGATCTAAACAAAATGAATGAAACAGTGATTGAATGGCCACTTTGATTTAACCTAGTATGTGTCTTTCCCTAAATCCCAATATCCCTAATCCCCACTCTGTGGGTTTCCTAGGCTGCCTGGTCTACTCATGGGCAGCCCCTCCCTCTTTTCTACAGGAGACCAGCAGAGAAGCTAATTTGAAAAGCTATTCATCTCGTTCCCTTTCTCTTTGACCTCAAAGGTAGAAACTGAAGACCAGTTGCTGGCAATCTTCTGTGGCAGTGAGAACACAGACACTGAGCATACCCCTGGCCAGGAAGTGGTCCTCTCCCCTGGTTCCTTCATGTCCATCACTTTCCAGTCAGATTTCTCTGATGAGGAGCGATTCACAGGCTTTGAAGCCCACTACGTGGCTGTGGGTAAGTGAGAAGTTGGTGCTCATCCCCAGGTCTCCCTTTCTCACTGAGGATTATAAGTGCTGTGTGCTCTCTTCTTCTCAATGAACATATGTACACTCGGCACACAGATTCTACCATGAATGTCTTACTGCATTTGCTCTATTATGTATCTATTCATCTCGTAACTAGTGACATGGAGCATCTTTTCATGTGCTTCCTGGCCATTTATATATCCTTTGGGGGAAAATGCATGTTCGAATTTTTAAACTGAATTGAAAACTTACATCCTTTTTATCTTTATATTTCCAATGCTCATGACAGGGCTTGATCCCTATAAGCAACATAGAAAGGGAGAGATGGCATGGGGTAGAAGTTAAGGGCCTGCACTTGGGAGCCAGCGCCCCTGGATTTGAGTGCCTGCTCTCTCCACCACTTTTATCTGTGTGCCTGGGAGTCAGTTATTTAATGCCTCTAAGTCTCAGTTTCATAATCTATAGAGTAGGCATAGTAAGAGTCCTGCTTACTGTTATCACAATTCTTAGAGGATAGTAGTACCATCAGGAGTCAGGTTGCTTGGATTTGAACCTGACTCTCTGTAATCTTGGGTAAGCATCTCACTTCTCTGAGTTCCAGTTTGCTCACGTAAACAGAAATAAGGGCTACTTCTGGGCTTCATGCAAGAAGTAAATGACAAAATGCTTGTATCTCCTAGCGTAGTGAATAGTCCATGCTAGGTGCTCTGTGTATGTTGGCTGTTGTCTTCATCATCCCACATGGATGGACTCACTGAGAGGCTCTGCCTGTCCCACAGATGTGGACGAGTGCACCGAGCGTGAGGACGAGGAGCTGTCCTGCGACCACTACTGCCATAACTACATCGGCGGCTACTACTGCTCCTGCCGCTTTGGCTACATCCTCCACACGGACAACAGGACCTGCCGAGGTGGGGCCCAGGGATGATCCTACTCATCACCACTATGTGACACTTTCTAATCAGATGAGGGAGGCCTGGAGGAAGGACAGATACGAAGTAGGAACAATTAAAAATGAAGTCAGGAAGCTGTGCTTCCAGGTACTACGTAGAAGATGCTGATGAAATGCCCAGCAGCCCTAGCCACTAGGCCTTCTTCCTTCCTGGGCAGCAGAAATTTCTGCCCTTTTCTCCCTCTCTCCTCTCCCACTGCAGGTCATCAGTCAGGCCAAGTTAAGAAGAAAAGATTTCCCAGTCCCCTCGCTCTGACCAGGAACTAGGCCTCATCAGAAGTAGTTTTTTCTCTTCTATTCCCTGGTCCCCAAGTGCCCCTGTGACAAAGAGAACCTCGTGGTCCAAAGGAAAGAAGAGGGAGGAGGGAAGTAAAGACTGAGAGAATGAGAAAACATCTCATTCTTGCTGTTGCATCACTTATCAACATGCCTATTCAGCCATAATCTCTGCCTGGGCAGAGCTGGGCACACAAAGGGGTTCAGCTACTTTCCGGGAAGACCATCCTGGTGAGTGGGTGACACAAGCAAATGGTGAAAAGTAGTAAATGCTGTACCAGAAGTGCGGCCACAGCACGATCAGAACTGAGTCTGCCTGGGGAGTGGGCAAACTCTTCCCAGAAATGGTGACCCTGATGGACACAAAAGAATAAGGAAAAGGAGAGCATTTTAGGCAGGGAGAATAGCTTCTGCAAACCTTCCAAGCTCTGATAGAGTTTAGAATATTTGGGGAATCACCAACAGATTAGTGTAAGTGCAGGATAAGGATCTGTGTTTTGGAAAAATCCCTTGGAAGCTGAGTGAGGTATCACTGGAGAAAGACAAGGCTTGAAACAAAAATTCTTTTCCTTTCTCCTTCAAACACTTCTACCTTCTTCTGAATAAAACCACTGTATGACTCATCAGTAGAGAGCAGGCACATAGAGAGCAATTACCTTCTAGACTAGAGAGTTATATTTTCTATGGTTTCCATTCAGTAAGCTCTTACTCAGTATCTACTATGTGGTCAGTACATGGAGGCTAAAAATGAGCATGGTTTCTTGACCTTTTTTCTTATTTCCACCTGTGCCTCCAGGAGCTTTTTAAAACATTGTCTTCCTAATCTCCCTAATATCTGCCCCTCCCCATGAAATGTTAATACAACAGATATGCTGTGTGTATTATTTATATACTATATACCTATCTATGTAAATCCATAGAAAGAGTAAGACTTGCCCCCCAACCAAGGACCAATTTTAACCACCTTTGGGGCAATATCATCGCCCTGAGAATGCCTGGGGCAGAAAATAAAAACAGATGGGAATTCAGGTAACCTCATCCTAAACATTGTTCTACAGCTAGAGTGGTAGAACTTCAAGTTAGTTATGCCCCTTTTCTGGTCCATAGTTTACTCTTTTGCAAATGAACAGGATAAACAAGTGCTTAGATAGAATTGACATCCTAGATCCAGGATGGGTCAGCCCAAGGACAAAGGTTCAGTAGCAAATAGAAGGACTTTGGTAGATGCCCTGACTGGGTGGCTCAGTTGGTTGGAGTGTCATTGCATACCCCCAAAGGTGGCAAGTTTTATTCCTAGTCAGGGCACATAGCTAAGTTGCAGCTTCAATCCCCAGTCAAGGTACACACAGGAGGCAACCAATCAATGTTTCTCTCTCACATTGATGTTTCTCTCTCTCTCTTTTTTTAAAAGATTTTATTTATTTATCTTTAGAGGGGAAGGGAAGGAGATAGGGAGAGAAATATCAATGTATGGTTGCCTCTCGTGTGTCCCCTGCTGGGAACTGGCCTGCAACCTAGGCATGTGCCCTGACTGGCAATCGATCACTCTCTCTCTCTTAAATCAATAAGCATATCCTCAGCTGAGGATTAAAATAAACAAACAAACAAGCAAATAAACCTCAGCAGCACTAAGCCATGGCCAGAATCCCAGGACACTAACTCTCTGGTGCAGCAAATGCAGTGGGGACACAGCAGAATCCCTGAGCTCAGAGGAACAGTCTAGTGGGGGCAAGGGAGTCCACAAACAAATGCATCACATAATGGCAAGTAGTAGTCAGCAGCATGAAGGGATACAAAGCAAGGCCGGGGTGGGAGAGAGAGGGTGTGTGTGAAAGATCAAGGCAGGCTTTAAGCAGAAACCTAATGGAATTCTGAGCTGAGGGGAGCGCAGGACAAAAGCAGTCCAGACATCCCCCCACCAACCAATCCATCTCAAAATCTTTCCATCTTAGTTCCCCTCCCTCCCACCAATGTCAGAGTATCTGATGAGAAAGCTTATCACACTCGCTGCCTTTAAGTTTTGATTCAGCAAATTACTACGCATGTGACTTCACTGAGCTTCAGCTTCCCCATCTGTGAAATGGGGATAATGATTCCTGTTTTTGATCGCCTCTTGGGACCACTGGGAAACCATGCAGTAACAGATAAGAAAGGAGTGTCTATGGCCATGGTGTGGTGTGTCACTTTGCGCGGGTGTGTTTCCCACAGTGGAGTGCAGTGACAACCTCTTTACCCAGAGAACTGGAGTCATCACCAGCCCTGACTTCCCCAACCCTTACCCTAAGAGCTCTGAATGCTTGTATGTGATTGGACTGGAGGAAGGTTTCATGATCAACCTGCAGTTTGAGGACATTTTTGACATTGAGGACCATCCAGAGGTGTCTTGTCCCTATGACTACATCAAGGTAAGCCTGCAATGGAACATTACCCTGGGAATGCTAGAAAATCTTGCTGAATTGGGAAAATTGATATTCTTACACTCTACCTTCTCCTAGGATAGGGGGCCAAGCAGCTCATTTCCCAAAGAGTAATTATTTAAAATAACATCTACCAGTTTAATCAGATACAGTCTAGGGATCTTCCTTAATCCAAAAGTAGCTGCCTGGCCACCCACAAAATCCTTTTTATCATGTAACATAAGATCATCATGAAGTAACACAAGGGCTGAAGGTCATGGGGACCACCTCAGAATTCTGCCCACCATGCAGAACTTCCAGGGGTTCTGCAGTAAGCTTTATCCGGGAACTTAAACTCTTAGGGCTTTACTTTTTCCTCTCTCTACATTAAGGGTGACAAGATGAAGATATCACCCAGGATTGTAGAAGTCACTGAATGAAGGTTAAAGAGTTCTCATCCATAGAAATGGAAGGAGAAGAGTTAAAGACATAGGAAGGACCCAGGACTGGGAGTTGGGAAATCTGGGTCAGCTAATAGTGCCTATTCCCTTTCCTCTATCCCACTGTCTCTATCCTAGTGGAAACCCCATCATTTCCTGGGCGACTGTGAAGCTTCCTAGCTGGTTTTCTTCTGTTCTCCTATAGCATCCAGGCTTATCTTTATGAAAGTCAGATTAGATCAAGATTGCTCTTGGGAGTAAACATAAACTCCTCAACGCACTGTGGCACTTGCCTGCCTTTCAATCTCATGCATGCCATGGTACTCCCTCTACTCCAACCAACTGGCTTTCTCTCTGTTCTTAACACTTTCCAAGATATTTCCCTCCCTTGGCCTTCACATTCACATATGCTGTTTTCTCTGCCTGGAAAGTATTCTTCCCTCCTCCTCCAATGACAAGCTCTTACTCATCCTACATGTCTCAAATCCAATGTCACCTCCTCAAGGAGGCCTTCCCTGACCACCTATTTAAAGTTATTGTTTATCATACTAATGATGAATTTTATAGGTGACATAGATTTTACTACATAAATTAAAAACATATAGCATATATTTATTGTCAGGATCCCCAAACTAGACTCCATGTTCTTTGAGAGCAGAGGCCTTTTCTATCCTATGCACCTGGGCAAGATTCTGTACCTTTCTGAGTCATGATGTTCATCTTTGAACAGAGGATTATCAGCCTACCTTGTCCACTGTCAGGGCCATTGTACACTGTAAATGGGAAAGTGGAGGTAGAACAATCTTGTGAATAGTAACGCCCACTATAAATGTAAATATATAGTAAGGCTCACACGAAGGCTTCCAGAAAACCCCAGGTGCAGTGTAGAATGGGTCCCTGCATCAGCCACTACTGCTCTGTTTTGACCCTCTTTTTCTCTCTCCTGCCTCTTGCAGATTAAAGCTGGCCCAAAAGTTTTGGGACCCTTCTGTGGAGAGAAAGCCCCAGAACCCATCAATACCCAGACCCACAACATCATGATCCTGTTCCGCAGTGACAACTCAGGCGAGAACCGGGGCTGGAAAATCTCGTACAAGGCGACAGGTAACTTGGTCATCATGCTCAACCCTCATGGAGCAGAGGCTGAGGGACAGGGGGTGCAGGCCTGGGACTCCTCTGAGCTTGTGGCAGGACTCCCAGTTCTGCCACCAAGTACACCAAGGCACATGCTTTCCTCGGACTCTGTTGCTCATCTGTAAAATGGGGTTAAGGACAGCAATGGTGATGCATTTGGACTTGCTGTTTCTCAGAATCACATGCGGATTAAAAAAACAAAACTTGGCTTTTAAATTGCACCCGCTCATACTGTGACTCATTGGACCTGGAGAGGACCCTTCCAGCTCCAGCCTTTTGTAAGTCTGGGCAGGAATGTGGGCATGGGCCTGCAGCTCAACATGTTCTGTTATGGCAGTTCACCTCCTGTGCTTCCCAGACTGGCCAAGCCCACAGCCCCCAATACCCCCAAGGCAGCCAGTCCCTGCCCAAATGCTGATAAAGCCATTTGACCCCAGGGGTACGCAATAACTTAAAAAAGAAGAGGTGGGACTTCAGTGACAAGACCACAGATGGGCATGACTAATTCAATTCATAAACTCCAATATCCTGGCCTGGCCTACATTATCAAATTCAGTGCCCAAAAGTGAGGAGAATATTAACAAAAGAGAGTTTGTCTAGGAAAAAATGTCAGGTGTAGCCCCAGACCTTGGAATCCTCTGTGATTTAGCCTTTGAAGAGAGGACTCAGAGGCATATGATCACAGTTTATCACTGAGGGATGGTCTTGGGAAGAAAGAGCCATCAGAATCCTCCTGAGTTCCCCCAGAGGGCAAACTACACCCAATGAGTAAAAATGACAATGGTATAGATTTCAGTTCAATATGAAACTCCTCTTACTTTAATCAGAGAAATCCAGTATAAAAGGTACAGGTTTGGGAGGTGCTGAGCTCCCTGTCACTGTACGAATGCAAATATGTTTAACATCTACTTTGGGAGACTTTTTTTAAAAGAATAAGACAAGGGTTGCACTCAATGACATTGAATATGCTATCCAACACAGAGTTTTGATGAAATCTTCTGGCCAACACCTCATTTTATAAATGAGGAAACAGAGGTCCAAGTTGAAAAGTGACCTACTCAAGGTTCCAGTAAGACTTTTTCATGGCTTATTAGGTCCGGGCCCCTAATGCCCAGTTCTGTGTGTGGTTTTCTCACCTCCATCGCACCTGGCAGTCTAGGGACTGGCTCCTCATTGCTGGTCTTTTGCTTGTTTTTTCACACGCTGCTCTTCCATTGTTCCCTACCAGGGAAGGAGTGCCCAGAGCTACAGCCTCCAGTCCATGGGAAAGTTGAGCCCTTGCAAGCCAAGTACTTTTTCAAAGACCAGGTGCTCATCAGCTGTGACACAGGCTACAAAGTGCTGAAGGTACAGGGTCCTGCCTGGGGAGTGGGACCCACCAGGCCAGAGAAATTCTCCAGAGCCTCCCAGACCACACAGGCTTCTGGAGCTTGTAATGGTTTCACTATGGTGTTTTCTAGCTTCCCCATAAATCTCCAAGATGTTTCAGAAATTCCAGTCTTCTGAAAATTTAGAGCATGTGTTAGAGGCTCTTACTTCTGGAAGTGGTATGAAGTCTTTTGTCAGGTCGTGGGCTGGTTTGAATTTCAAATAATCTAGATCTGCTCAGCCCTACCATCAGGACAAATACCCTTAACAAGTTTGAGGCTTGCTGAGGGAAATGGGGATGGAAACCAGAGATTTTAGAGGTGGCAGAGAGGCACTGCTTACTCCCCCACCCGATGAAACAGTGGTTTTCCTAGGAATCACCTGCTTCATTTAATAAGCAGAGCTGCCCCCCCAGGCCCACCTGAGCTCAATGAAAGCAGAATCTCTGGGATGGTACCGGTGATCGGTGTTTCTGTATATTGCCCAGGCGAGTCTGACATGAGCCAAGCTAGAGGATCACTGCTCTCAAAGTGGGGTCCCCACTGCAGCATCACCTCACTTATTAAAAGTGTAAAGGCTGGGCCCCCAGGCCAGACCCAATGAATCCCAAACTGGGAGGCAGGGCCCAGCAACCTGTGCAAAAGCGCTAAGGGATGCCGCTGCTTGCTCAGGTGTGGGAGCCACTGCTCTGAAACAATGGCCAAAGGGTATAGTTTTTCCTTCAGGGAGAGTTTCCCAAACCCCTTCCCACAGCCAGCCCTTGACTCTCTCCAGGGTAGGAATGGGAAATAAAACTCAGCATCCTTTCCTTATTGTCAAGCTTGCCCTTGGAGGCTTTTGGTTAGAAAATCTCAGTTTAGGACACCCAGGTTTGTAGTTTGAGTTGGTTTTACTGGGAAACCACCAGCAACCCCACCTCTCTTCCTTCTCCCCACACCTTCTTCATGTTTCTTCCTAGGATAATGTGGAAATGGACACATTCCAGATTGAGTGTCTGAAGGATGGCACATGGAGTAACAAGATTCCCACCTGTAAAAGTAAGAAAACAAAACTGGTTGATTAAAAAGACCATGAGATCCCCAGCACTGGTAGGATTCGAGCAGAGACCTCACAAGGGAGACAGCTTGACAGGTGCACTTTAAGAGAAAGGGGCCAGGAATTCAACAGACACATGAGAGTTGGACAGAAAAGACTATTAATGTTCCTTTCAGCAATAAGGCATTAGGAGTCCAAAAGAAACTTCTTGTGGGTCCCAATGTACTTTCTAAATACTAATTTTCCCTCTGCCTGCAGCTAGGTTGCCAAACTTGCTAAACAAATAGCATGTCTCCAGGTTTGAAACTAGCTCTGGTAACAGCTAATTCAGGAAACTATTTTGTCCCCCATGCCCACGGCCAAGTGACCTTGCCAGTCTTTATGTGGCCATCAGCCATAGCCACTAAGTCTTCTGAGACAGCTTATGTTTTAGGGCTGTGGTGTCAGCACAGTGGGCATGTATGAGGCAGGGGACACAGTTTGGCATGGCTCCTGGGGCCCCTAGAATTCTTGCATTGTCTCTGATCACAACACACCCTGTGACCATGGACGACAAGGTCCTTCTTAGTGGTAAAATAAAAGAGTTTAAACTAGCTTTAATATTCTAGAATATATCCTGGAGATTCTAACATAATGTAGCTCATATCAGTCACCTAGTGAGTTTTGTGAAAATACAAATTTTTAGCCACTACCCCTTCTCCCCCTCCCCAGGTTATTTTGATGCAAGGCTTGTAAGGACCACAGTTCTAGGAAACTCATCTATGTCAACAGTACTAAGAGAAGTCACAGGGACAGAAAGGGAAGGAAAGGGAGAGACGGAGGAAGGGAAGAAGGATTTGCTTTAGAATGAACAGGTGAGAAGTTAAGAATTAGGAAGGGTCCTGCCCACTCCTCATTCATGACTCCATCCAAAATTTGGGGTGGTGTCCCTGTCCCCTGTCTCCTCAGTGGCTCATACCCATTGAGCTGGCAGATCCACTCCCACTGCCCTAAGGGGATACTGTCAGGGTGGGGCTCCCCTGAGACAAATCCCAGGCATAACTTTGGAACAGAGCAGGTTTGTTTTTAAGTTTCTTTTTTTAATATGATGATGTGGATGGAGTCAGAGACCAGTGTGGGCAAGGGGGGATTGGTCATTTTATGGCTTCAACAAAATGTTTATACGAACATTTACTAGATGCCTATGCCAAGATCTAGAGGGAAATCATATGGGAAAGACCAGGTTCAGACATGGAGGAACTCAAATGCCAACAGACACATCTGCCACCTCCTCCAGCATGTGACTCGTGTGTAGTGCTGTGCCTGAGTGCTACCCAAACAAGAGGGTGTTCAGAAGGAGGAGGTAAAGGAAGATGCGCAATATAGATGGCAGAACGTGTTTTTGGAGTCAGAAAGTTCTAGATCCAAATACAGACTCAGACAGTTGAAGGTCTCTACGCAGTGTATTCACACTCTTTTGGATTTGGTTTTCTACATTCTTGATTATTCTGAGGACTGTGTTAATGTGCATATCATTACTGAAGAGCACCAGTAATAAGTAAAAATACAATAAAAGTTTATTTTCCCCCACTCAACTCCCTCACTAGGAAGTGTTTTGGTTTCTCTCATTCATGCTTTTGGAGAATAAGAAACTTTAATAACAATTTTCTTCCCTGATGGAACACTTTTTATTGTAACAGAAGTGTTGATAGAATAAGGCACTACTATATTCAATGGTACTCTTTTATGTGACTTTTGTTAATGTACAAAAGAGCCTGTCATTCTGTACCAAAAAAAATATATCCCCCCCCCCAATATGGCCTGGTTCTCCCAGAACACCTTGGATTAGGACTATGAGAATTCCTATTTAGACAAACCTGGCACCTCTGCTCATTCACTGAGTTGGTATTTATTGAATATCTCTCTGTCCCGGACATGTGCCAGGTCCTAGGGGAGATGCAAAGATGAGCAAGACTCAGAAGTTGTGAGTCCATAGGGATTTCAGGGAAAGGGGTTGGGAACATACAGGAAGTGTGTGTGTTGGGAGTAAACCAGTACCAGAACAGGAAGTAGACATTACTGGTTGTCCTGGCCCTGCCACCACCTTGCTGCAGTGACCCCAGACAAGCCCTGCTCCACTCTGAATGCCATCTGTTAAATGAGGGTTGGGACCAGATGAATCAGAAGCTTGCTCCAGCAGTAGAATGTTATAATCTTCCTGAGCCAGCATTTACAGCTGTGCAAATTCTCTGGATGGCACAAATTCCACAATATGAAACTGTCCTTCACACTGGCTGTGCCTGAACTGTGCATTCTCAATCAATCCTGGTGGAGTGATTTCTGTGTTTCCTGCATGAACTGCTTCTGCTTTGCTTGCTAATTTTTCTCTTTCTCTTCTTTCTCTCTCTCCCTTCCTCTGCCTGCTTTCTTTCTCTGGACCCACTGATCCCTCTTTGATCTTCACCATGGTGGCAGATACCGAAATGGATGTGGAGAGCAAGTCAGAGCAAGTGACCGAGTGAATGACTGGACCCCTACACAATGCAGACATCCAGGAATGGACCACTCATGAGACCCCCAGGGTCCCAGAGCTACTCCACCCCTCCCTACCCACCAACACTCCATTCCCCATTTCAGTGTGGATTAGAAAGGATGCTAAATAAGGCAACATAGTCTTAAGCAGTTGAAACTCCTGTGTGTGTATAAGAATAATCCCTTCTGAGGTTTCACTCATTATTCAAATATTACTCTAGAACATAGTGAAAAGACAATGGGAGATTGTTTTTAGCATCTCTAAATGGACTTTATTCTTCCCAAAGGAAAAATTACTTCAGTCCAAGAGACACAAGATTTAATAATATACAATCACATGGCCTTAGATTGACCAGGTCAAAGTGGGTCCTGGTTTGTCCAATCCACTCTGCACTCCAAGTTTAAATGGGCCAGAATGCCTATGAGTTTATGATTTTACTATTTTTACCTGTTGCCACTTTCTTAACATAAGTAGGTGGAACTAGGAATAATTCATGTAGCCTAGATTTTTAGGGAGTCTAGATATATCCTCTTGCCTAAAAATTTCCCTTCCACCTATACAAAACACAGGGCTGAGAGTCCTCCATCAGGGGTTCTTTCTTCTGGGGCTTACACATTTTGCATTTCTGAAAATTCACTGATTAAAGTTTTTCAAAAAAATAGGCATCATACTTGAAAGCAGCAGTCCTCAGCTCAGGTGCCATGAGACACCCCTGGTCATAAGTAGTGACAAGGGCTGCAGGTGGCAGCCAGCATGCTGGAAATCTCTGCTTCAGCCTGAACAAAACCTGGATACACACATCAGAGAAGCCTTGCATTGCATGGTGACTACTAGTCAATTTGGTAATGAAATGGCCTCTTGAGGAGGGCAGAATCCTGCAAGGATGGACAAGGAACAGTCCAGAGACTGAGGAGCCAGTGCACGGCAGGAGTGCCCCTAAGACAGGGCATGGGATAGCACAAAATACAAGTGCCAGTTGAATCAGTATTTTTAAGCCCGCAAAGTATAACAAATATTGTACTCAATGTGCTAGAGGGAATTATAATTTAGGCAGAAGGTTTGAAATAGACCCAAATAATTGTAATACCGGCAACATAAGGTGCATCCATCAGAGAGAGGTTAATAAATAAAGTGCTCTGCAAAGAGAAATCTAGAAGCAGCCCTATCTGATTAGAAGAATAAGAAAAGGCTTTCAAAAAAAGAAACTAGCTGAACAAACTGAAAAAAGAAAGAAAGAAAAGGCTTTCAACAAAAAGCAATCTGTAAGGTTTGGAGGGTGGCCATAGCATGGACACACAGAGTTTCCCATGTGGGGAAAACAGCAGGCGAGAGAGGTACAGAAAGGGTCTGTGATGCTGGAGCATACATACACCAAAAGGGAGGACAGAGATGAGGCTGGGTGGGAGAGTGGACCATCCCTGAGTTGAGCCAACAGCTGTGATTCTTTAGGAAGCCCCCAAATTATGGCAAAGAGTGCTCAAGGTGGCAGGTCAAGAAACATGTGTCTGAAAGAAAATAAATGTCAAGAAAAAATGACAATGGAGACAAGACAGAGGGTGGTGTATCCCATCCCAGAGAATAATGAGAAAGGGAAGCCAAGATAATGGGAAGGGACACTTTAATTCCAGAGCATGGAAGTGGCCAGAGGAAGATTTAGAGAAAAGGATGAAACTATTCCTAAAGCCAAGAAGGTAGTAGAGTAGCTAAGAAAGCAGGGTCTGGATATGGCATCTTTGATGGTGCCAGAACTCTCAAAAAGGGAAGTTGTTGCCAGGCCACACAAAGACATGGACGTTTGCCTGCCACATAGACTGGGGGAGATTGTCACCCCCTTCCCTGCTCACTCTACCCAAGCTGAAGTGACCTCCATTTTCCACTCCATTCACCTCTTCTATACAGTTATAGAACCAGCTTTAACTGTAGGCAAAGTTACTTTTCTGGAGTGATGTGAAAGCAGAGCAGATCCTCTACCCAGAAAATTTCTCCACACTAGTGCTGGCCACGTCATATAGCCTGACCATCTCGCCATGTCTAGGACCACCGTGGAATTTCTCCACCTGGAACTAGGTATCAGGTCTTCAGGCTACCTTAGGCAAAATGAACTGATAGAACAAAGTTAAGGTAGACAAGATTAATACCAACATCCAGGCACGAATCAATGGCATTTCCTAAAAAGGGAAGAAAAATATAATTTGAGACTCAGCAGGAAAATACATTTAAAACCGTTGATAGATTTCAATAATAAATACAATCACTTCTTGCTGTCCTACTGCTGACCTTCACATGCTCTCCTCACAGACTAGAAGAGTGTGTCTACACTGGTGATGGACACAAATTGGAACAATTTGTCCAGAGAGGTTGGAGGCCAGGACAAAACACTCCCCAGTTCTCCTGGCTTTTGTTTTCCTCATGGGTAGGAGGGACCTCCATCTACTCCTATCCTTCACCCCCTGCATCATCCTTGAGGACATTGAAGTTAACTACACTTTAAGTTTGACAACTCTGTTCAATCAAACAGTTGAATCTGGAGTGCTAAAGTTAAAAGTCATAATATCTAAATATAGTATTTCAAGAGTAAATTGCCCCCTCTCTGCTTTCCAAAATGAGCAGGTAAAATTCAGCAAGAAGGAAACTCTGGAAATACCAACAGGGCCTTGGAATGCAGTCTTCTGAGGTTATCAGAAGATTACAACCGATGTCTATCATTATCCAGCTAATATGATTATAGGCAGTTTCAACTAGAAAATAGATCCTTAAGAATGGCCAGTTTGGTTTATTTAAAAACCACTGAGTATAAGGTCAGGTCTAGTTCCCTGATCATACATGCTATATGACCTTAGATGAGTCAAGTCTACTCTCTGAGCTCATCTCTACAGTGAAGATGATATTCTAGATTACCTGTGTTAATGTTTCTTGGCAACTATGAAGCTCTGTGATCCCTCTATGATTCCTCAACTCTGATAGGGGTTGTTAGACCCAAGATAAGGATTTCCTTGGAAATGAACACCACACCCTAGTGGAGAAACACCACCCTCATGAAGAAACACTGACAAGTTGGGTCCTCAGCCTCTACCTGGCTCCTGGCAGACTTTTACTGGACTCTACCAGTGCTGGAAACTTCCCCAAGACATGGCTGGATGAATGATCTCCCCTAAGACCACCTCTGAGGAGCAGGCATCTTTGATCTCATCCTGTAGCCAGGCCCAATGTCCAAACACCAATGACTGGAGAAAAGAAGCGGGTGAAGACTAAAAGCTGATTTGCCCTGATCCTACCTCCTGACTTCTGTGTCTATAGAGAGCCAGCACGGTGGTACTATGGTGGTTTTCTTTCTGTCAATTTTTTTGGCTAAACTTATTTGAGCACATTAATGGCTCTTACTCAGCATGTGGTTGGATCTGGAAGAACTGAATATTCTTTGGCTCTTGTCAGCCAGAAGTTTTTGGCTAAGCTGTAGGCTTTATGCTTAGGCAGGAGAGACGAAGAGGATTGCACAATAGACCTGGAAGTCAAGGAAAGGGTCCTGGGGGGAAGAAGATGGGGCTGCTTAAATCTCAGCAGACCTGCCCTTGCCCTGAAATTGACATCAGGCCAGGTGAGTTGATCACATGGTAGATGGAAAAGGCCCCCAAAGCAAGGCCACTGGTGATTGCACAGGTTGTGCCCTCCACAATCCCTAAAGCATCATTCTCATGCACTATAACATAGCTTACTGAAGTTGTGTGCAGGGCACAACCTATACACCTGTATGAGACAGACATACCAGATAGCCCCAGGAAGAACGAAGGGTAATTGAAGGATTTCACTCTCTTTTCTCTCAGTTGCTGACTGTGGATCCCCTGCAGAGCTGGAACATGGGCTGGTCACCTTCTCTACAAGGAACAACCTCACCACATACAAATCTGAGATCAGATACTCCTGCCAGCAGCCCTACTATAAGATGTACCACAATATCACAGGTGAGCCCTGCATGCTAAATCAGCCCCCTCCCACCTCACACCTTCTGGGCCTCAGGGTTAGGTTGGACCTGAAACAGCCAGTCAGCTGGCCACAGTTTGGGAGGAATGGGAAGGAAAAAACACTTGGAGACATGCCTTGCCTCTCCCTGGCTCAAGCCTGCACCACAAGAGTGTATCCATATGCCAACCCTATATCCACATATACACACCCACAGCCCGCCACAGCGAAGGAACCCTCAGGGAGATGGCAAGGCTGATCAGTTCTGCCTCTGCCACAGACTAGCAGTAATAAAATTCTCCCAATTTCTCAAGGCCTCCAAGTCCTCACTTCAAAAAGGGAGCAGTGATATAGCTCACAAAGCTACTTTAACACTCAAATGAGATGGTAGACATGAGTGTGATTCATTAAAGAGTTTGTTAAGTAGAGAAGGAAGGGAAGGGCATGTATACCACAGAGTACTGTGTGAACAAAGGCCTGTGTGACTAATGATGAGAAGTGCCTGCCAGGGGCTGAGCAGAGCCAGGAGGGGATGGAGCAGCCCCCAGACAGGCCAGGTGGGAGTCAGATTGCACAGAGCCTTGCACAGGCCCTGCTGAAGTGTGTGGTGTTTGTTTCTGAGGGCAATGGGGAGCTTTGGTGATACTGAACAGAAGAAGAACATGGGCAGAATCTCCTTTTAGAAAGAACCTTCATGTTGCAGAGGACTGGCTCAGAGGGAACGGCATTAGAAAGACATTTTGGAAGACTTGCAATGATCCACAATACAGGAATTAGGAACACAGATCAATTATTCATGTGCTTTACATCAATCATTTCTCCCTTTACTTCATTTTTTCTTTACTCTCCCAGGTATATATACCTGTTCTGCCCAAGGAATCTGGATAAATGAAGTACTTGGAAGAAACCAGCCCACCTGCCTGCCAGGTACCTCACGCTCAAGTCCTCTGCCTCATGGTCTCCTATTCAAGGCCTTTGGGCCTTGAGTGCTCTGGCTGTTAGTGTAGCAGGGGAGTAAAGGGCATGATGCTTTGATTGTTTTTAAAGCTACCTTCTGTGGGTCAAAGGTCAGAGAAGCCCAGCCTCACACCTTCTCAAACCAACCTGTTATATCAGGCTAGGAGCCTTTCTTTCTCTTCTCTCTGCAGTTCCACTCCCTGAACACCCAGTTTTTATCCCACACAGTTTGCATGTGTTGGAAAAATCAAGAAAGTAGGCACCCCATCCTCAAGCACTCACTGTGCTATAGAGGAAACAAATAGCATCAGGTAACAACTACCAACAGAGTAAGTTCTTTCAAAGATCAATGCATTCAACTCTACTAACTGCTGCCTCCTTGTAGCTTACCTACTGACCCACTTTAAAAGGAAAAAAGACTTTTGGTAACAAAGAGCATCACCATGCATATGGATTTAGGGGATATTTTGTAGATAGTTGCATCAGCATTAAAAGTATGGATGATTTGCATCACAATCATGGTACACATATGTATATATTGCAATCAACTTATTAGAAAATCCTAGTCCTAAATGCACACTGTAGGGTTAAACAAATAACCCACAAAAATTGAAGTTAATATTCACAACACAGAAATATATGCTTTTAAAAAAGCAAGAATAGCAGTAATTGAAAGACAAAACCATTCAAGACAGCATGAAGAGCAGTACTGATTCTGTCTGCTCATTTGCTCCTATAAGGAGCTTCACGGTGTGGTTAAGTAATGGGTAGCACTGGTATTTTACTGAATTTGAGTGTTAGGTAGAATGATATAATGTTATTATCTGACTGCTATGTTTTAATAACCCTCAATAACACTCAGTAGGATTCTAGACATTAAAATGGAAAGGCTATGGAATCATCTACCATTACCCTTAAGAACTGAAGAAAGTGTTGGCATTTGGGATTCCATTTTGGCCATCACAGGAGCTATGAGATCCCAGAGAAGGAGGAAGTAATGGCATGCGCTTGTCTGGAAGTGGAGGGGTGAGGGCCGGTTAGGAAGACTTCACTTAGGAGGGCCTTACGCTCAAGAAAGAATTCTTGAGGTGGTAAAACAGGAGAAAGGTCAACTTACCCACAGTTTACTGATCCCCATCATCTCACTGAGGCTTAGCCAGAAAGATACTCAAAGTTTTACCATTGGTCAAGCCTCAGAGAAAATGGGGAATGGTGGAACTGTGACAGACTGAAGGGGCAAATCTCTATTTTGCTAAAATACCATATGGGCCAAATAAAACAGCACTGCAGGTAGATTCCATCCTGGGCAGCCAGGCTGCAACCTCTGAAAGGGGAAGAGGCACTGAGCTGGGAGTCAGGGGCCTGGGTCCTAGTCCTGCTTCTGTTCTTTCCTAATTGTGATCTTTGGTAAGTAATATCACCTCTCTGGGGCTAGGATTCCATACCCCAGAAGGGAGGGAGCAGAAACAGGTGATCCATGACATTCTATAACTTTTAGTGGTCATTATCCTCTATATTTATACAAAATATCTTAGATATAATGAGTCATAAAACTATTTTAACACTTGGTGTTGGGAAAACCAAGGTATATCATTGGGAAACATGGTATATCATTGTACCAGGCTGGAGATATATAAATTCTCTCCTCCTAAAACACTGAGATTGAACCCAGAGGGAAGCCAGGATGGAGAAAACCATTTTATTGGTCATCATAATATGTACCTTTCCAAGAACACTGTTAAGCAAATAGTATTTGTCCCTTACTTTACAGACGAGGAAACTAAGAGTAATTGAGGTATGGTTTATGCAAGGATACCCAGAGAAAGTCAGGGGCAGACCTAGAAGGCGAGCCCAAGACTTTTGATGTCAGCACAAGCAACCCTGAGCCATTCTTGATTCTGATTATATTTTATGACATCCTCATGAACCCAAAATTTTAGACTATCAAATTTTTGTTTTAAAAGTCCTCCCTCAGCGCCTCCAGTCCCCTAGAACCCAAGTCTGACTTCAGCACAGAAGCCATAGGATGTCAAGAAAATTCTTTTCTCCCAGGAAAGACAGGATATAGAATGGCGTCGGCCTAAAAGAATAGCCCCATGTCAATGAGCTCTCTCAAAAGCGTGTTTCACTATTCAACCTTTCAAAAGTATAACAGCATATCAAAAAAATCAGTTTTTTTGTAGAGAAAATGAAGCTACAGTCATAAGACGTGGGCTCTACTTCTGGCTTAGCCACTAATGACTTTGAATATGTCACTTACTTTCTCTAAACTTTGGTTTCTCCATCTGTAAATTAGCTGTTCTCCATGTTTCCCCAACTCTGACATTCTGTGACCTGAGTTATGCTATTGGCACCTTAGTTGGAAAAAGGCACCATTCAGCACTGGCTTTGTTATGATCATGGACTAAGCCACAGGCCTGTCTTTCACCAGATGAGAGCCTTTTGGCACTAGATGAGTCATTCTGTGAGCTAATCACAGACCTGCCTTGAGGTGTCAACTTGTAGGCTGCTGCTTGTATTTGGGAGTCTGGCCTTCCACTGTGAAAGGCCACACCACAGACAGTTAGCAAAGGCCAGCTACATCTGGCCTGGGGTGAACACAGGGTGCCTCAGGATTATATAAGACACATTTGGCATCAGGAAGAAGAACATCTGAAAAGCATTAAGTTTATGAAAGCCTGACCTACCAAAGTTGCCAAGAATACGCAAATGCTTTTTGGTCTTTAAAGGACTGTTGATAGTTTCCAAGGCCAAGAAGTGTAGCCTGAACATTTGAACAAAGAGGAGGCCAATGTTTATACCAGGTTTACCTCCCAGCCCCAAGCACCAGGCTGGGAAGGGCCCATGTGAACTCGTTCTTAGCCAGCAGGGTCTGATGTTGAAGACCTTCTGTTCATGAGCCAAAGGTGTTTGGCTGCAGGAGGCTGGTGGTGCATGTGCATGCTCGGGGTACAACTCAGTGGAACGAAGTTTGATCAGACCTTTCTTCTTCCCCTGAAGGTACTACAGGGTTCCTGGGTGCAATGATGCGTGGCTCCGAACAGGCCCATGCATCATTGCTTGTAGATTATGCCACCTTTCCCTATCCTTAGATGCCCTGGGCATCCTTCACAGCATTAGTCCTTTGTCCTAGAAACGAAAAGATTAGAGGGGCCTGCCATATGATCTTTACATGTAATGAGGCATTGTAAGATATAGGCCAGTACATCAATCTTAGAATCTAGTTAGGCCCTTGCCACTTATCTTACTAGCCATGTGCCCTTGGGCTAGTCACTTATCCTCTGTAAAGTTTTACTCACCTATAAAATGAGGTGGCCAGGGCAAATGAACTAAAAATGAAAGGAATTTGAAATATCCATGGCGACCATCAACTGCCTCATTTAGCAAATCAAAAATTAAAATCTAGAAAGGGCAATTTATTTACTTCTATGTCTTGTCACACAAGACATAGGAGAGAAAAGCCAGGTCAAGGCCTCCGGGGTCTTGGCTCCCAGTCCAGTGTTTGTTGTGACCTGCTAAATAGTCTTTTAGTTTCCTTTTATCTCTCAAAGCCCATGACCTACAATTTTCAGAAGTTTTCTGAGTGCCCACAGTATGGACCACTTCTGAATGTGAGATGCCATTCTAGAGAAAAAATGGAAGAGGTTACCACTGCTAGAGATAGGTCTGGCTCAAAGTCTAGGCCAGAAATGATCCTGGCTAGAAATGGTTCATGGTGGTGACAGTCCATGCATGAAATGGTCAGACCTATAGATGGCCCTAGCTACAGAAAGTCCAGACTACAGGCTGGCCAGGCTAGAAAGACTTAGGTCAAACGTGACCCCACACAGAGTTTTCCCAGGCTAGTGTGGCCCCATGATGTAGGTAGAGTAGGGTTCTGTGGTGGTATAATCTACAGTGGGTGAGATGTGAATTTCTCTTAGTGGCTCTCTTCACATGGCTGACCTAACCAGTCTCTGTCTTTTGTCCCCACTCCCTCCTTCTCCTTACAGTGTGTGGTCAGCCCTCCCGCTCCCTACCAAACCTGGTCAAGCGGATCATTGGGGGCCGGAATGCCGAGCCCGGCCTCTTCCCATGGCAAGCTCTGATAGTAGTGGAGGACACCTCAAGGGTACCAAATGACAAGTGGTTTGGGAGTGGGGCCTTGCTCTCTGAGTCCTGGATACTCACAGCAGCCCATGTGCTGCGCTCCCAGCGCAGAGACAACACAGTGACACCAGTCTCCAAGGAGCACATCACTGTCTACCTGGGCCTACACGACATGCGGGACAAATCGGGTGCTGTGAACAGCTCAGCTGCCCGAGTGGTACTCCACCCAGACTTCAACATCCAGAACTACAACCATGACATAGCTCTGGTACAGCTGCAGGAACCTGTGCCACTGGGACCCCACGTCATGCCCATCTGCTTGCCAAGGCCTGAGCCCGCAGGCCCAGTGCCCCACATGCTAGGCCTAGTGGCAGGCTGGGGTATCTCCAATCCTAATGTGACAGTGGATGAGATCATCAGCAGTGGCACTCGGACCTTGTCAGATGTCCTGCAGTATGTCAAGTTACCTGTGGTACCACATGCCGAGTGCAAAACCAGCTATGAGTCCCGCTTGGGCAACTACAGCGTCACTGAGAATATGTTCTGTGCTGGATACTATGAGGGTGGCAAGGATACATGCCTTGGAGATAGTGGTGGGGCCTTTGTCATCCTTGATGACTTGAGCCAGACCTGGGTGGCCCAAGGCCTGGTGTCCTGGGGAGGCCCTGAAGAATGTGGCAGCAAGCAGGTCTATGGGGTCTACACGAAGGTCTCCAACTACGTGAACTGGGTGTGGGAGCAAATGGGCTCCCCACAAGGTCTGGGGGCGCTCCAGGTGGAGCGGTGATCTGACTGACCTCCTCCGGGCCTGCCTGCCCTGCCCCAGCCCGAGTGAGGCTGACCACACATTTCCGACAGCACACTCCATGTTACTCACCAGACCAAATGGAATGGAACCTGCTGCTCCCATCTCCCTGAGGCAGCCCCAGGACCCTGAGAGGTAGCAGAGTGGTATAGGGGAAAGTTTCTACACAGGAGACCTGGGTCCGTGGCCTTGGGCAAGTCCCTTGCCCTCTCCAGGCCTCACTGTCCTCAGCACTACAAGGGAGCTAGATATCTGGGCCAGTCCTAGCACTCCTTCCTCTCAGGACTGCTTTAACCTAGTGGCCTCATTCACTCCTATGCACTTATCAAACCCACTGTTGGCCTAACTGGGCCTGATTGTTGAACTGAACTCTGAGTCCATATATTTGTCATTTGGGCACAAACAAGTCTGATTCCTCCTCTAGAAGAAAACCATTCAGGTCTGGGAAGATGGAGATCATACCCCAAGGCCCCTCTCTCCCAGGGTAACCCTTGCCCTGAGGTTTATCTCCCAAAAGCTTCCTGCAGTCTAAGCCTTAGCCTGAATCTTTCTTGTTCAAGGGATTTCAAAGGAAAAAGAGAAAGTTTGGGTAACATGGGGAGGATGATAGTAGTTGAAGTCTCCCCAACCCTGTTAAATTCCTTTTGTCAGCTCAGAACATGTCACTTGGGAGCATATGTCATTCTAAAATACCAGCTGGCAGCAGTCAGGTATCCATACCTGCTGCTCCAGACAAGCATGAAGCAAACTTCTAGCCTGGAAATGTATCATCTGAAAAGCTCTCCTGAGCCCCAGGCCCAGGCATGGAGAGTCATCTGGACTGCTTGGAAAAAGAGAAGGCCCCTGATGTGCCCTGCTGTGCTTCTTGGCAGGAAAATGGAAGAAGAGTGGGCTAGGGACATTCGAAGTGACTTCACCCCACCAAGGCTGCCGAGCATACCTGGAGTCTGAGCTCTTCAGAGAATCCACCCAGCATGGATATTCAGAAGGATGCACTCCTCCGGCTTCCAGGATCTTCATAAAGGGCAGCAGAGACTTGCCTGTGAGAGGCAGTGAGAAGAGACAGAGAGCCAAGAGTCCTGGGCTCTAGCCCCAGCTCTGCCTCCAACGAGCTATATAACCTTTGACAAATCATTTTCCCCTTTGGAAAGGGAAAGGCCCCTTTGGGGGCCTCAGTTTCCCCATCTGTAAAAGGAAGGTATTAGATCTCCTTCAGGGTCCTTCTAGCTCCATCACTCAGGGCTGCCAATCACCAACAGCCTCTGCTTGGCCCTCACAAAGATGATGGTCCTCCTGGGACTTTCCACCAGAGAAAGGCAGCCAGAGAAGCCCTGAGAGGGATTTCAAGATAACAGTTGGCGAGTGTCCACTTTTCTAATAGGTTCATGAAGCCACACTCCTTTGTCTATGAGCAGTGCATGTACAGGATGCTATATATTGTATATTATATATCACAAGCTCACTATTCTGTAAGGTGCCTCTGCACTCCATTTCTTCTGTCAGGGGTCTAAAGTGGAAATAAAACCTCTGTGGATAATCAACAGCCTTTATTTGGGGGTTTGGTTATTGTTAGTATTTGTTTGTTTTGACTCTGTAAAAAGAAACTTGCCTCTCATAAAGCCAAAACCCCTCACATTACAGAGAAAGTACAATTTTTTGTCATCTAGAGAGCATCCAAGAAAAAGTGATGAGGAATGGGGTTGGTTACCGGTATGTGTCCTCACACCTGCACGTCCCTTCATTGCAATGCCTGCTAGTCAAGTCTTTAACTTCAAAGAGCTCAAACTAACATGCAAGGCAAGGTTCTGTGCTTCTAGGTCTCTCACACAGGCCTAGAAGGAGGTGAGTGTCATGAGAGAAGTGGAGATTCCAGTATCATGGAAACTTAAAAAGAACAAGAAGTCCATATGGCTGGAGGGGGCCTGGGGAGCTCTGCAGCGGGTCTGCAAAGGCCGCACTGGGAGACAGAAAGACAGGGCAGAGTGGGCAAAGATGAAGCAGGAAAACGTGTGTGCATAGAGTGGGAGCAGTGGGGATCAAGGGAGAGCAGAAATAGCCCTAAAAGCCATACTATGTTTGCACTCTGTCCTGTAATTAGTGATTCTCTAACTTGGGGTATCTGAGAATCACCTGAGATCCATTTCAGAGATGTAGATTCCTGAGTCTCTCCCAGGAAATTCTAAAATTAGCAGGGCTGAAGGTGGGCAGCATAGAGTGGAAAGTGACTTGTGGGGAGGGACTGAGCTAGAGGGAGAGACTGGAAAGCTACTGCAATCATTCTGGAGGGAGATGGTGAAAATCTACTAAGCCTAGGGCTATGATGGCCCAAGTGTAAGGGTGAGGAGTTTAAAAACATTTCAGTGATGTATTCAGCAGGGCTTGGTGTCTAGGCACAGAAAGAGTGGAGGTGCAGGGTGCGGGGGCAGCACAAGCTAGCCTGTGGGTGAGGGCCCTCCATGGGATGCAGTCATGCTGTGCCTTTGTTTAGAGTTTATATTATAATGACAATGTCATGCTTTTTACACATTGGAACTACAACAATTCTAAATTATGTTTTACAGTTTATACGTAGCTGGTTTCAAGGATTACCATGTCTTATGTTCTATTACATTTCAGATTTTGACTTTCCTCTAGATGTTTGGATTGTGTGTTTTGACATATTGAGACACCGAGGGGTCATGATGTCACATGGCGGAGAAGACACACACTACTCTCTACTTCTCCTGGTCATTTTTTAAAAACTGGTTTAGTTACTGAATATGGGAGTAAAGAAAAGGGAGGCAACAAAGAGAGGCCAGTGCAGGCAATAACAGATATCTGAATAACAAAGAGGAGAAGGTTGGTGAAGGGTAGAGACAAGGGCTTGGTTTTGCTATGCTTGAGAAATTTATGAGCAATCCAGCTGGAGATGTAAAGAAAAGCTATTTAACAGGATTGAGCAGATTGAGACACTGATCTGAAATCTGTCAGGGTATATATAGGTGGTGCGATGCTGTTCCTGTATCTTTTTTAAAAGATTTTACTTATTTATCTTTAGAGGGGAAGGGAAGGAGAGAGGGAGAGAAATATCAATGTATGGTTGCCTCTTGTGGGTCTCCTGCTGGGAATTGGCCTGCAACCCAGGCATGTGCCCTGACTGGGAATCGAACCACAGTCCTTTGGTTTGCAGGCCCATGCTCAATCCACTGAGCTACACCAGCCAGGGTGATGCTGTTCCTAATAGAGAGAAATGAACTGGTAGCTCTGACAAAGGGCAAGATGGAGCCAAGAGTATGATGTGTCCCTCCCTCCTTTGACTGCAGTGTGTGGGCTCCCCAAGTTCTCCAGGAAGCTGTTAGCCAGGATCATCAATGGACGCCCAGCTGAGAAAGGCACTACCCCCTGGATTGCCATGCTGACGCACCCAAGTGGGCAGCCCTTCTGTGGAGGCTCCCTTATAGGTAAGGAGAAGGTGGAAGGGGGTAGGAGACCCAGTCTAGGGGCCAGGGTGGAAGCGAAAGTACCCAACCCTCTTTCTGGAGACAGATCAACGTTTCTTCATAAAGAAACACTGTCTACACTAGTAGCAGGGCCCAGAAGTACGGCATTGTAGAAAGAGCCCTTAGCTGGTTCCAGGAGACGTGTACTCCTATTCTAGCTGCCTCCTTTAGTCAACAAACACCTACAGAGTTCTGGCCAGTCGCTGGCACTCGGAAGGGTCATAGAGTCAGCCCCTCAAACATGGATAACAACATGTGATTCAAAGGAAGGGTGTACCAGGGCTACAGGATCAGGGAGAACAAGGAAATCCACCCTAGAGAAGTTAGGGAAGGGAGATGTACAAAGGCCTCAAATGCCCTCCTTAGGAATTTAAATTTTATTCTGAACACGAAGGCAGGTTGATGAGCATGTTCTCTGGAAAGTTCTTTTCAGGGACTCTCCAGGGAGTTATCTCCAATATGGATTGAAAAGGAGGGTGACTAAGGAGCCCAGAAGTTTGGTAAGGTGACTAGTGCAATAGTGGGAGGGAAGTCATTAGCTTCAGAATAAGGGGACAAAGGATGGAAATGAGGCAGATTGAAAAGCACTGGAAAGTGGAATCATCAGGATTTTTTAAGTCCTCACCTGAGGTTATGTTTCTTAATTTTGGAGAGAGAAAAAAGGAGAGAGAGAGACAAAGAAAGAGAGACAGAGAGGAGAGAAACATCAATTGGTTGAGCCACCTGTCTAGGGCAAAAGCATCAGAATTTTGTAATGGTTTAAAGGTGGTGGGAGTAGGAGTAAGGGCAGGAAAGGAATGGTTGGCAGCTGCTTCCTACTGCAATTTTTTGTCTAAGGTCAATTCCATCTCTGACATCATAGAAAAATTAATAGCACTCTAGAGCCTACAGCCAGTTCCTGGTTTGATCCTGTCACAGAGAACAAAGGTCTGGATGGGTCCATGTGAGCCTGGACAGCTCCCAGGGCTGTGGGCCTCACCCCTTACTGACCCACCTCCTCCAGGGTTCAGTCAGGTGAGGACAGCTCCCATCAGGGACCCATACCTAAGGGGAGGCACCAGCCACCCTGGGAGATGTAAAACTGCAACCAGGCATGAGCACTGCTCGAGGAGGAAGTGACCCTAGCAGTGCCACACACCAAGCTGAGTGTTCCCACTCTATGGAGCCTCTCTAAGGGGCACAGATAGTGATACGAGTGACAGGGGCAGCCCTGTGGGGACTAGACAGAGGAGAGGACCAAAGAAATGAAACTGCAACGGGGATGGAGAGACAGAGATAGAGAGTACAGAAAGAGACATGGAGAGTAGGAGACAGGTTTGGAAAATAAGAGAGAGGGAACTCGAGAGAGGTAAAAGAGAAAATAAAAATAAACAAATATGATGAGAGGAAGAGAGACAGGTAGGACAGAAGATGCCCAAGTGAAAGAAGAAATCAGGAAAGACAGAAAAGCATGGAGGAACCAGAAGTGAGGAAGAGGTCAGAAGAGAAGCAGAGAGATGGTGAGGAGGAGCAGGGGGGAGAATGGGAAGCAAGACCGCTTCGTCAGCCATTGCCGATGTCATTAGAATGTGAGTGAAAGAGATGGATTATGTGCCCATGGTTTTAAGAATTCAGTTTTCTTAAGCCTCGAATTTTTAAGTTCAGTGCTAGAATATTCAATGCTAATTTGTACCTACTTCATGTTTATTCCCTATTATGTTTTGAAGTTGTTAGAATTCTGCTTCTTTATCCTTGGCCAAGCTGCACGTTCTCTCATGCTCCACACTGCCTGGCTCTCCTACCTAGAATCTCTCTCTTCCTCCTGGTACTCATTGTTGTAGAGGGACTGTGGGGTGGGAGAGGAAGCAGAGAGGCAGGAAAGGGGCCAAGGGATGGAGGAAAGAGGGAAAGCACTACATTTGTGGTGCCCACAGTGAAAGTTGGGTAGAGGGAGCCTGGCTCAGGGACTCTTGCAGAGCTGGGAGGTAAAGTCACATCTCTGGACTCACCACAACACACACCTGGGTTTATTTAAATGGCCCAGAGCCCTGCTCTGAAACAGGCTCTCCTACCTAGCTACCTTGTCCCGCTTTATCCACCTGGAAATTTTGGTCAACAGTCCCTGGCTATGGATAGAAATAAAAAATGTCTCCAGTGAAAGAGGGTGGCCTACATGGAGCTCTACTCAGAACCTAGTAGCCATAGCACAGAGTGGGTCCCAAGGGAGCCAAGTAGGGCCTGGGACCTGTTTCCCAAAAATGCCTCTGCCTGGGACTCTGAACTCTGACCTGATACCCCCCCACCAAACCCTGGTGCCTTTTTTCTCTTTGGTTCATCCTGGTTATACCTCTAGGTTTAGTTATTTATGGGTTTATAACCTGCTTCACCTACAGGGTGAACCAAAGCCTGACCACATATTAAACAAAGGGAAGGAACCTGTCCATTGAGTGGAAGAGACAGACAAGATAGGAGACATGCTCTAGGCTAATGGTCAGGAGACCTAGGGTCTGGCCCTGGCCTGTCACTAACCTTCTGGGTGACCCTAGACTTCTCTGCTTTGCTCCAGGCCTCAGGATCTATATCTACAAAATGAGTGGTTAGGATCAGAGCAGTGATGACATAGGGGCACCTGGGGAACTTTTAAAACATACTCGTGCCTGGGACATACTCCCATAACTTAGCTGGTCTGATTCCGGGCCCAGGTACTACTTTTGTTTTGTTTTGGTGTTTGTCTTTTTCATTCCCCAGGTGATTCTAAGGTTCATCCACAGTTCAGAAGCACCATGCTAAAGCAGTGCTCGAACTTTAGTGTGCATAGGAATTACTTGAGAATCTTATTAAATTTCCCAGAGTTTCCTACTGAATGCAGATTCTGATTCAGTAGATCTGAGGTGGGAGCCTGAGAGTCTGCATATCTAAGAAGTTTCCAGACAAGGCTGTTGATGCTGGTCCAGGAACTACAAGGCCAGAGAGGTGGGCAATAAGCACAAGGTTCTGTGTGGACCCATCTTGGGCTGATGGGAGCTCACCAACCTCATGGGTTTAAGGGAGACCTGAAACCCAGTTTAAGATGTTCGGCTTTGGCTTTGGTTGGAATAGGCAGATAAAATCACAGATTTAACTGCTCTTCTTTAGATTAGGATATGAGTGTCTGACTAGGGGCCTTGAAATGCAGTAGAGAAGGGTATCCTAGAGTGGTCTGAAGGCCCTCAGCTCAAGACAGGTGGGGGCAGTGCAGGGCAGTGTGTGTGCACAATTCTCTTCTCAGGCTCCAACTGGATTTTGACCGCGGCTCACTGCCTCCACCATTCACTGGATCCAGATGACCCAGTCTTCCATGACTTTTACAGGCTCACCCCTTCTGACTTCAAAATCATCGTTGGTGAGTGAGGGGCAAACTGATTACTGAAGCCAGTTGTGGTTCTGGGAAAGGGGTATGTCCACGAACTCATTCATCAGGGCATGACACCTGGCTGAGACTGGAGTCCAGGGACCTGAGTCCAAGCTCAAGGCAATGATTTCCAGGTGCAGGGGCCAGGAGCAAGTCTGTGAATCTTAGGCCTCAGTTTTATAATGGGAAAATAAAGGGCCTAGTCTAGTTTCCAAAGATGCTTCAGGCTTCTATGAATTCATGGTTTCAAGTGGACCATACACATAGAATCCAAGCTTCCCCTCCCCAAGACCATCAGCTGGTTCAACTCAGTCCCCTACTGACACTATGCTAGGATCTAAGGACACAAGTATTTTTTAGGATCTAGTTCCTGCCCACAAGGAGCTTACAGCTTAATAAAGGAATACAATACGAGCAGGGAGACCCCTGGTATAAGAAAAAAGGCAGTAAATTCTGTGGGAGAGAAAACAGACAAAGTGTCTTGGGACTCCAGAGAAAAAAGACTTCTAACTGAAGAATCCAACTCAAGAATTGAAGAGGCTTCGTGAAGGTGGCAACACAGGATCTAGGCACTGAAGGGTGATTATATGATTAAAACATGTGGCAATGAGCACTGGAATGAGTATTTTAAGGCAATGAGATTAGCTCGTGAAGCAAGACAGACATGGAAGCCCATGAGAATATGTATGGAAAAGAAGGTAGGGCAGGATAGCTGGGAAAGGTGGGAAGGAAAGTACTAAAAGAGTTAAGGCTGGAAACACAAGCTGGATGGGACAGGGGGCTATAGGGAGCAAGAGGAGACCTTATTTTTTGTGCCTCCATTATCTTCATGTCTCATGCGCCTTATTCTTGCCCAGGTAAGCATTGGAGGTCCCGGTCAGATGAGACTGAACAGCATCTCATGGTCAAACACATCTTCCTCCATCCCCTGTATGATCCCAACACATTTGAGAATGACGTGGCTCTGGTGGAGCTGTTAAAGGGCCCGGTGCTGAATGACTTTGTGATGCCCATCTGTCTGCCAGACCGGCCCCCGGAGGAAGGTACCTCTCTCTACCCCTGATCTTGCCTCTGCAGAATAGCAGTTGCCTCCACAGAGATTTCTTCTCTGGCATCAGTGAGGCTCGGGTGCCAATGAAAGTAGCTGACAGTGCCTGCATGATTCCTCAGCTGCTTCCCCTAAAACGGCAGAACTGGTTCCAAGGTAGCACGTACATGAAGGTTTACATTCATTAACTTATTTACCACTTATAAAAACCTTGTGAAGTGGTATTGTAGTCCCATTTTCCAGATGGGAAAATGGCGGGTCAGCAAGGTGAAGTGACTTACCCAAGATACAGCTTGTAAGAGCAGATCCAGGGGCTAGAATCCAGGTTTTTCAGCTTAAAAGTCCACTGCTGTTTTCAGGATCCAGGCTTTCTCTTCAAATAAATAAATAAGTTCTCTCTCAATGCACAACCCATTTCTACAACACTCTGAGATTTGACAACTTTATAGACTTCTAGAATATCAGAGCTGGGAGGTGGGGAAGTAAGAGGATCCCAGGTCTGGCCTCTTCATTTTATGGATAGAGAAACTGAGGCTCAGAACGGGAGGGAGGAAGGAGTGAGGACTTGCTAAAGGTAGCATAATATATCGTGGACTAAGTTAGACTTTTTTTATCCCCACAATTATTGATCGAGCACCTACTATGTGCCAGCACTGTTGCAGGCATAGGGGTATGGCAGTGCACAAGACAGAGGAGATGACTGCCTTCATGGAGCCCAGGGTCCATGCCAGCTGGCAGTGAGGAGAATAGACAACTAAGCAAACCAGCTAACAATTCATAGAAACAAATTCCTATACTGCTGTTGCAGGTAACCTCCAACCCAGCAGTCTTCCTCCTCACCAAGCTGCCTTTCTCAGAGGGTACAAATGCAGCCCTTCCTCCTCAGGCAGAGGAGGATCGGGCTGCAGAATGCTACCTTCTGAAAACCCCACAGATAGCCTCTCTGCTCCCACTGTTTCTTTTCTCCTCCAGGGGCTATGGTCATCGTCAGTGGCTGGGGGAAGCAGTTCTTACAGAGGTTCCCAGAGACCCTGATGGAGGTGAAGTTCAACTTATGCCCTACAGAGTGTGACATCTCTGCCCTGAATGGGACCTTCCTGCTCCATGTCGCCACTCAGGGACTTAGAGGCTTGAGCAGAGGGTGGTTGAGGAAGACACCAGGGGCTCACACTCACCTCAAAGTTCACTGGGACTGTGAATCCCAACAAGCTTGATCTGTTTAGTCTGTACAGCATGGGTCTCCAGTCTCTAAACATTGTTGGCTGTTTCTGTAGCTCAGCTCATGGAAATTCTTACAGAAAACATCAGACTAGAAGATCCAAAAGGATGGTCCATCTGTATATGATGAAGACTCGTATAGCAGATTAAACACAAATGGGCCAAAGAATAGGCTCTTGAGAGCTGCAGTTCTTACAGTATATACTTGACTGTTGCATTTAGCACTTCACATTCACATCATTACATTACATTCACATCACATCAACAAAAGAACACTGAACTAGAAATAAGAAGCCATGGCTCCAAGTCCTGGCTGCAACTGACTTGCTGGGTAGCAAGTAATTTGTCTCTCTACACGATAGAATAGTATCTCAAGATGCAAAGTCAGGGGCAACACTGGACGTTCTCCAAGAGCTGCCTGTCTCTGACATGACTGGATCCTATGACTGCCGTGGCTAGTTTCTAAATCCTTCAACATTTGTTATTTTAATGTACTTTAAAATTTTCAAATTTACAACAACCATCCATCCTTCATTCATTAACTCTCAGATGTTTATTTGGTGCCTCCCAGGTACTAGACATTGTGCTAGTTACTAGGTGCGCTGGGGGACAAAAGGACTGCCCTAGTCCCTGGCCTCTTGGGGCTGATAGTCAAGTACACAATGTAGTTTTTGATGTGATAAATGTGATGATGGAAAAATGTGAAATGCTCTGGAATGGCCAGACAAGTATTATCATCACCAGTTTACAAACGACAAAACTGGAACTCAAAGAGGGCCAATGACTTGCCCAAGGTTCCACAGCAAGTTCATGACTGAGACTGTATCTGGTCGTGCATCTCCTGATTCTCCATTCAGTGTTTCTTCACCTGTACCACAGGGCAGTTTCTGAGACCTGGTTTAAGGGAGTCCCAGGCTCATCCAGGATGGGGATGGGGATGGGGAAGAGCCAGCTGTAGGGGGTGTCAGAACAGCAGGAACTCCTCTTCCTGGACCGGGGACCAACAATGGCTTTGTGTTTCAGATTGAAATCCCAATTGTTAATCACCGCACTTGCCAGAATGCCTATGCCCCAGTGAAGAAGAAAGTGACCGGGGACATGATCTGTGCTGGGGATAAGGAAGGTGAGTGAAGAGGCTGGCATATAATAGGGCACCTCATGCCAGGAAGTGGTGCGGAGACCAGCAATGGAAAGCCTGGAGACCTCGGAGCCTGAACAGTGAGAGAGGGGAAGGAAGGTCATGAAAGGAAGGATTCTGCTGGAGAAGCTGCGTCAGAGAGTAGAGTGCTAAGAAATTTCCATTATTCCCTTCTCCAAGTTCAACTTTTCATCTATGAAACAAGAGAGTTCTTAACCTGCCCTTCCTAAAATCACTGGGCTCTGAGGAGGCCTGACCTAGAACTTTTGAGCCCAGATTTGAGTCAAATAATCTGCTTGCGCCCCCTCGTGCCCAATTCTCTGAAGTGCAAGTCAGCAGTGGGAAGAAGGAGGCTCCTTTGGATTGGGGATTAGGGAAGGAGACCAGTTACTTTAACCTCAGTATCTCTTTCATTTGTTGATCTAGGGGGGAAAGACTCCTGTGCAGGTGACTCTGGAGGTCCCATGGTAACCCTGGATAAAGAGAGAGGCCATTGGTACTTGGTGGGCACGGTGTCCTGGGGCGACGACTGTGGAAAGAAGGACCGCTACGGAGTATATTCCTACATCTACAGCAACAAGAACTGGATCCAGACAGTCACCAGTATGAGAAATTGAATTCAGTTTTGCACCACCTGCCCGTGCTCAGTCAGCAGCAGAGGATAATTATCTGATGCAAGACACCCTCGCCCTTCGCCCACCTCATTCAGCCCATTACTGGCCAATAATGGGGCCATCTCAGCCCCATTTTCTCCTTCTTTAAAGCAGCGGAGTAGCTGAGTGATCAGAACAGAGGGCTGAATCCAGCCTCTATCACTCAATACGTTTGTAATGCTGGGCAGGCGACTTTGCCTCTTTGAACCTCAATCTCTTTGTATTCTGAAAATCACATACCTTACCTACCTCATAAAAGTTTGATGAGTATTGAATTAACCAGTATATATACAGCACTTAGCGCAGTGCAGGCATAAACTAAGGGCCCAACATGTGTAACTTAGCAGTCAGTGTGTCTACCAGGAAGGCAAAGTTCTCTTACAAATCCTGGCTGGTTCTTAAGGATGACCAGTGTGTACCCTTCCCTTCAACTTTGACCACTTCTTTCAACTGCCCCCAAACGCTGTGCTTCTGTGCTACCACACACCTTTTCCAACCCCAACCCCTACCCCCCATAATAAAAGAAAAAGAGAAAAGTCCCACAGCAATGCATGAGCTAGACACCAAATTGCGAGAGAACTTTGCAAGAAGCAGGGCAGAGAGGGAGATTGGGAATGGTCAGCTGGGAAGCCAGACACCAGGCCCTAGAACTAGCTCTGCCCCCAGCTCTTCGTGTGACTATAAGCAGGACTACCCCTCTTCCCAAAGGACTATCTGGCTATTTCCAGCTCTGACTATCTAAGATCCAAAGAAGCCATTTCTCCTTGATGAGATGAGTTAAAGCCAAATAACCAAAAGGCAAAGACTACCTTAGAGTTTAATAGAGTTTTGATGCAGAGAAAATACTGCTGCTGCAGTAACCTCCACCCTTCACCACGCCTTGGTTCCCGAAGACATAGCCCAGGCAAAGTGCCAGTCAAGGAATCTTCCCTTATTCCTAAACATAGCATTAGTCCTAGGCCCCAACCCCCTTCCCTTTCTGAGAATCTGAGCTACACAAGGTCAGCCCTGAAAGGCTAGACTCGGGGCCCTGAACCCTCCTTCCCTGTGTCCACAGCTGCCCCCACACAGCCATTGTCCCGATTCCTCACCCCTGTTCCTTACCCTGAACACTCTAGCCCCACACAGTGATAAGTTTCCTATGCAGAATTTCCTCAGGGAACCAGCTCCTGTCTCAGGAAGTTCCTAGAGAACTCGCCCCTGCAGAACGCTGAGATTTAAGCCCATCCAGGCATCAGAAGTCCCAAGTCCCTGTCTGGTTCTGTGAAAATTGGTCTTCGCAGCAGACTTCAGTTCTTGACTTGCACTGGTGCTGCTGGAATCATTCAGGGTCTCTTGCTGAAAGAAAGCACAAGGAGTGAGACTGAATGAGACTTATGGACACTAAGCCTAAGGCTGAATGCTCAGGGATAGCAGGTCACAGCCTGCTTCTGCTTCTATGAGCTAGTCATTCTACCTCTCTGTGCCCTGCAAGTTACTCTGAAAAGGGAAGATGACAGTGAGACTCAACTCCATCAGACATTTGTCCAGCAAGCTTGAGATCCTTTTCATGCGCCAAAGAAGAAATGTGATGCTGGAAATTGTGATCTAGGAAATTCCTCTGGAATTGTCCTAGAACATTCCAAAACTCCATTCCTCCCTGATCCGCAGCACTGCCTGGGAGTGCTCATGTACCAGGCTGTGCTAACTGCTCCAGAGACTGATGAGATGAGGGGAACATGATTCCTACCTTCCAGAAGCTCCAAAGGGGCAGAACTGACACATACACAGGTGCCCACCTTGAACAGAATGAACCCCCCTGCCACACCCCATCACTGTGATGTGTCGGAGCAGCGCAGAGGCCCTGGAGGAAGGAACATCAGGAAGGCACCCCAGACAATGTGATGCTGGAGCTGAACTCTGAAGAGGGTGGGCATTCCCAGGTAAGACAAGGAGGCCTTCCAGGTGGAAAGAGAGCAGAGCAAACAAATGTTCCCTGAGGCTTTCCTCAGATTATACTATCTTCTCTCACAAAAATTACGTCTAGTAGACTCATGTTCTGATTCTGGAATCAGAACCAACATTTAAGGGGACTTTCTCCTTAAAGTCAGAGACAACAGTGAGACTTGGCCTCAAGATTTGTATACAAATACTGGTCCCCCCACCCCCACTAATCAAAAGGAGAGCCTTCCTATTAAGCCTCTCATAAGCCAAAATAGCGTACAGTGAAGGAACAATTACCTTAGGACACATCTTCCTAATTGATGCACAAAATATATCCAGGTAAAGCACAGGTGCTCAAAGACACCGTTCAAAGCTATGGCACCTTGACACTGAGAGGCTGGGCCTGGTTCCCGGGAAAGGAGCTTGGCCAGCTGCTATTACCACTCAGAGTGTGCGATGTTTCTGTAAGAGCTTGCTGCAAAACAAACTCTGAACCCTACTTTTGCTTTTCACCTTTTTTTCCTTAAAACTGAAAATCCGCTTCAGATTTCTTTTGGTTAGTGGAACAGGTACTAATGTAATGCACTTTTTTGTAAAAGTGAAGTGCAGTAAATCAAACCTTCAAAAAGCAGAGGATATCTGTCTGTACCAACTTCAGAGTGGACACAGTTTATCCCATCTATTCTTCCAATTGCAATTTTATTCTTTTCCCGAGGAAACATCTAAATGTGCTGTATAAAGATCTATCAGCCCCCACACTGCTGCTAAGGTGCAAGAAACCTAAATCTCTCACAGAGCCACAGAAGCAGAGGGTTGGCATGTCTATTAGGACCATCTTGTCTTGATCCATGACCTCTTTCTTGAACATTTCTGGAGATGGGAAATCCATGACCTCCAAATGCAGTCCATTCCCACTTCAACAGGAGCTGCCTCTTCCAAAAGTCACTTCTATGCAACCAAATCCACCTCCCTAGACTATAGTTTTATATGTAAAGCTATGACTTTATACCATGAAGGTTGTTATTGTCATAAAGATCATGCCAATTTCATTAGCAACAGAAGCTGTTGTTCTTGTGGGTGACTACGCATTTGTTCCAATAAACATCTGCATTGAGTCAAAGCATCCTGTTTGGCTTATGTTTTGCATGCACTGATGATTCTGGTGACTTTTGTTTTCATTCATCAACATTTCTCTGTATCTGATTAGGAACACTGTACCATGAAGAGAGAGACTATGATGAGAAGGTCATACTGTCAATACAATAGCATGTCTTAAGTTTTGCATGTCAGTTCTGATTAAATAGCTTGTCCTACTGTTCCAGTAAATTATCAAAATATCAGGATGCCAATTTTTCAGCATCCAAATTGTATTTCTTGATTGCCATCCATATATAACATAAATTTTTTTTGGATTATGTATTCAATTGTTTAGTTCAGAAAATATGCCACCATGTCTACAAGTGGCCTGTTATGGGTTGGAGTACTTTCTTTCTGCTATGACTTAATATTTCATAGTGACATGGATCTAGGAATCAGCACCACCAAGAAGTCCTTCAAGAAAAGCTAAGCAAGATTCAGGGATAGGAGAGTTATCCCACTCAGGTAGCAAAGAGAGTGGCCAGTCTGATCTAGAATGGGCCTTGAAACCAAGACACTTAGGTTCCAAGGCACCATAAGCTGAATCCCTTATTCATTTAAATTTCTCCATCTATAAACTAGCAAAAAAATCTTTGCCCTACCCCTCTTGAGGGTTACTATATCAGAAAAAATAGCAAATGGGAAAGAACTTTGGCGACTAACTTAGCTCACATACAAACAATTCTACAGGAAATAGTCACTAACATTTTTGAGCACTTACTACTATATGATTGAAACTACATTAAGGTCTTACATGATTCTCAAATTTAATTGTCACAATGGCCTGTGATGAAAGTACTTTAGTATCCCCATTTTACAGGTGAGCAAACTGAAGCGCAATGAGGTTAAAAATGTGGCCCAGCCTAAAAAGATAACACCCCATAGCAACAAGCACACATAGTATTCAAAGTTTGGTTTCTAATAGTATTTTTCAATAAAATAAATTTCTTGATTAAATGGCTAATTCTGAAGCCAGGGCAGGAAATATACCCTGCCATATTATGAGTGTACTTCTGGTACAAGATGAGCCTAAAGCATCTTGTTTTAGAAAGTCAGGAAGTCATACAATGATGAAAGTATGTTGAAAGGACACAGGAGCTACTAGAAGAGCTCCAGTGGCCAAATGTAGAGTAATATAAACCAGAAAACAAATGTATTGGGTTATAACCCAAAGTATAAAGTAAATATCTGTGAGCATATATTTATATGAATAAATTACTAATATGATAAATAAATAAACAGGGAAGAATAGATGAACCTCTTGTGAAGAATACCAAATAATTTATGTAAATACTTTGCTTAAAGGAGATGAAATAACTCTCCATCCCTTAAGTGTGGGCTGCACAGAGTGACTTCCTTCCAAAGAATGCAATATCCAAATGGGGGAGGGGGAGGAGTAACTTGGAGAAACCTGACAAAACGCTACTTCAGCCAGGAGATCACAGTTACTATCAACAGTGATGAGTCACGTTGATAGCATGTGACCTTGATATGCTGTGATCAAAGTGGCACTGCACCTTTGCATTTTTTTCTTCCCCTCCAACTCTCATAACCCCCATCTAATCATGAGAAACATTACCAGAAAAATCCCATTGAGGGATATTCTACAAATACTTGACCAATATTCCTCAGATGTAAGGTCATCAACAATAAGAAAAGTTGGAGAAACTGTCATAGCCCAGAGGAGCCTATAATAAGTTGGATCGTATCCCCTCCAAAAATGTTAAAGTCCCAACGCTTAGTACATCCAGATGTGACCTTATTTGGAAATACGGTCATTGCAGTTATGATTAGTTAAGAGAAGGTCAGACTCAAGTAAGGTAGGTTCGTAATCCAATCCGACTGGTGTCCCTATAAGGAGAGGAGATGCGAGACACAGAAACAGGAGGGATCATCATGTGACTTTAGTTAAGAATAATAAATGAACCACATCAATGTAGAATATTAATGATACAGGGAATTGGTGAAGGTTATATGGGAACTTTATGTACCATCTTTATAATTTTTCTGTTAATCTAAAACCACTCTAAAATTAAACACATATTTAAAAAGTATAATCCAAGATCTCTCAGGAGGTGAGGGGGCTGGGATTTGAAACCAGTTCTGATAGACTCTGGAGCCCAGGCCCTCAGGGCACTGGTTCTACACCCTGGCTTCTCAAAGTGGGCTGCACATGGGAGTCACCTGGGAAGTTTATAAAACTACTGATGTCTGGGTCCCACCCCCAGACATTCAAATATAATTAGTCAGCATGGGGGGTTGGGAGGTGGGTAAAGTTCTGCAGATAATTCTAAGGTGCATACGCTTTGAGAACCATGTGTCTAGGCTACCCTGCTAGTATGAGACCCCTAAAGAATATCGGCAGCCTCTGTTACTCAAGCTTGGGTATTGGAGTTAGGTCACATGGTTGGTGAGGAGCAGAGATGATGTGGGAGCCCTGAGGCTCTAGGCCATGATCCAGAACTTTCCCGTGACTCCCAGCAACACCCCCACTCAGAAATTTCTGTTGCATTGGTGTTTTCCTGGAAAGAACAGTCTCTTGTACTTTGCAGTGGTAAACTGAGGAAGGGGAAGGCATTCCAGGCGCGGGGGATTAGCATTTGTGACAGCAAGGAGATGAAAAGGCAGTGGGTTTGTGGGAAACTGAATGACTTGGTGTCCCTGGAGAGCCAGACAGATTGGGAGGAAAAAAGAACTCCACGAGGAAGATTTCGCATCTCTCCTAGGATGCTCAGCTCGGTTTGGGGAATGGAAAGACATTTGAAGTTTGGGGACCAAGGAGAGACATGATATGATCAAATGAAGCAACAGTGCAGAGTCAGCTGAGGGAGAAGGGGCAAAAGGCAGGAAAACTTAAGATGACTCACGAACATCAGGCAAGGGACCCCTCTGGCCCTGAACTAGGGCAGGCCCATGAAGAGGGAAGACAGAAATCTGCTTCCTTTGCCTCTGAGAACCAAGGGCTGTGCCCTTAAAAAAAAAAAAAAAGCCAGTGTCAACAGATTTCCAGCCTCTGTTAACACTCCAGGGTGAACTTGTAGAGAAATAGAGAGGAAATAGGGCAGGGACCGAAACCCAAAAGGGGTAATGGCTTTGAGGCCCCTGGTCTTTCTGTGGCCTGCTGGCGTCAGTGCTTGTCTCCAGAAAGGAAGGAACAGCATTATCTGAACTCAAGGGAAAATGACAAACAAGGCCTTTACAGCCATCCCCTGCATCTGGTATGTGTTAGCAAAAAGCTTCCCCCAGAAGATAAGGAAACTATCATTTGGATGCAAAAACACAGACTCAATTCCCAGCAATGAGCTTCTGATCACAGGAAAAGAAGCCAGGACCCTTTCAACACTTAGGCAGCTCATGAAGATGCCAAGGGAGTTCCCTGTGAGGAATGGGGTGTTAAGACAAGACAGTGTTATGACAAGAAAATATGTCAAGACTGGACAGTGCCCAGGGCGAGCATATGGAATGATGAACAGATCAGTGTGGGTGGAAACATATCTCCCCACCAACATCTGCCAGTCTCAGTGGAGGCCTCTGCAAAGTAACAGGTTATGATCCCCAATCCAAACCGACGGGCCAGCATCAACCAGGGCAAGCTCAGGAGACCCGAGGGGTATGTGCGGATGCAGTCCAGGCCCAAGTTTCAGAAGACATTGACCTACATTGAAAGTGAGGACTCTCTTCTCCCCTTGAGCTGTTTATTCTATGACATAATTCCATCTTTCCCTTCTACCGGGACTGTCTGGCTTATTAAACGCTCACATGCGGCCCAGGCCTGTCAGTGGGATCCAAGACAACAGAATCTTCCCTTTAAACAACTCCGACAACATCTCCCTTTGGTCTAAGTTTGCATGTCTAGTGCCTAAATCCACGTTGGCACTCTAGGCCTCCCACCAAGCCTTTAATTTTAGTGCATTTTGAAATAATGAAATACTTCAAACACACTGAGAGTCAAAAATCCATGTCCTGCTCAGACTTGATGAAACATGTCCCAGGGAGGGACATGAACAGAATTCCAGTCCAAGGAGTGAGTTTGTACCATCAGAGAGAAGGTGCTCTGGGCCAGTGGAAAGAGCTCTGATGCTCAACTCTGAAGACCTGGGCTCCAGGCCAAGCTCTGCTGCCTATTGGCTCTGAAAGTTCAAGTGAATCATGCCCTCTGTGCCTCAGTTCCCACAGTTTCCCTGTGGGTTTCTCCTTCTTTTCAGCCTCTCCACAGGGAGAGCCTCAGGGCTCTGTATGAATTAGCCCACCTGATCTTGTGATATTCAATATTATCTGCAGCTTGGGCCTCTCCTGAACTGCAGGTATAAAGAGCCATCTGCCATCTTGACATTTCTCACATTTAATCTGTAACAAAATGTTTAAAACGTACCTCAAAATTTACTTCTCATTCAAAACCAAACTTCTCCTATGGCCCCCAAATCTTTTCCTATACAACTTTCCTCACCTCATAAAGTGGCAACTATATTTATCTTTCCAGGTGCCCTGGGCCATAAAACAACTTGGGGCCTCTGTGACTCCTTTCTCTCAGACTCCACGTCTGAGTCACCAGCACATCTTCTCAGCTTATCTTTAAAATAGATCCAGACTCAACCCCAGTGGTTACCACCCTGGGGCAGCCCACTGCCCTGGAACACACCTCTTTCTTCACTCTATGATTCAAACCCACCTGTAGTTTCTTGTCTCATTCAAATTAAAAGCCAATGTCCTGACAGTAATGTATGATTTACAGGCTCTGACCCCCCGTCACCACATAATAATGACCATTAAGCCTGAACTGAAGCCACTGGCCTCTTCGCGGTTGAACAGCCCATCTGCTCCTGTCTCAGGGCCTTCGAACATGTCATTCCCTTTGCTCAGTTCTTTCATCTTTTTTCAAATGTCACTTAGCAAGACTTTCCCTACTTACCAAATCTAAAAGTATAATTCTATATCCTGCCCTTCCTATCCCCTCTGCCTACTATATTCTTCTCCTTACTACTTACCACTATC